GCTCGTTTTCGGAACGTAAATGCACGAGAGAAAAGAAGAAAACGAAATTTTCGCGTGACGTTTTGATGAAATACCGAAAGAGTTTCGCTTGCCATTGAAATTGGTAACAAAAAAAGCAATAACTAGCCAGCGCATAATTGTTTAGCTCGTATTGTTTTATTGTTAAAGGGGGAAAATAAAGAGTACAATGAATGGAATACGAATGAAAGTAAATGAATATTTCACAAAGTTAAAAGATTGTTGTGTAATAGAGAATTTTGATTTTTATATTTTAGATCAATTTTATTCCCGGGATAAAGAATATGTAAAATTTATATGCAGATTTTTTAAAATTACAAATAATAAAGTTTTTTGAATTTAAAAGGTTTGAATGAAATTTTTTAATAATAATTATAAATTTACAAATATTTTAATAAAAATAATTTGTGTAATTTTAACTTAATAATTTTATCAGAAGAGGAACATTTCAGTTCTCGATAAGTTTTGTTTACCAAATTCGAATGTTATCGAATATTCTGTGCAATGTGTGTTGCTGAATACGTATAATGCTATTTTATGTAATATATGTACACATATAATAGACCGTATACAATACAGAAAATTCGATATATATTTGCACACGGTTGTTAATTATCGTGGCTCTTTAATAATTTCGCTTATCAAGTTTCTCTTATCGATTGAATGCCGAATTCTTCATCGACGTTCACTTTATAAATATTGATTACTTATCGTGCAGTTATTGCGAACAACTCGTTTATAACCCAGAAACCTGAGCCGAGTGACCCTCTTCGCATCATCTCTTTGTATCGTTGCAGCGGAAAATTGCAATCGTTAGACCGTACGTGTAAAATCGGCCTAAGCCCCAAAATTTAATAAAACCGCTTTTTCTCGCTGGCACAAACGCCTTCTTCGTTGACCCAATTGACACACGGGCGTAAAGTGGCCTAAACTGACAGCTGTAATAAAACAGTCTAGTCTGAGCTAAAAATCTGAAATAAAGTTGGACGAAATCTTTTTTACAGGACGAGTAAAATATTGGCGTACAAATTTATTTGTGTTTGACACAGAATAGTTTCATGGATTAAGAGAAGAATATAGATGTTATTTATTTCTTAATAAAAAATATCTTCTATAGACATTATATTATATTATTTATATATATATATATATATATATATATATATATATATATCTTTCTCTCTTTACTTACGAATTTATTTTAAAGATTTGGAACTAAGAAAAAGAAAATCATTTATATAAAGAGAGAAGGATTTTTAGTAATCTAACATTAAATATCCTTGTAATCAAAAATTGTAGAGAGAGAGAAAGAGAGAGAGAAATAATAGCAACTTCTCTATCATCTTTAAGAAATATATAATCTTTAAAGCGATTATTGTAGTTATCTCTTGAATAATTAAATAATTCCCTATTATCAATTTTACTTAATATATATTAATTTGTGTGATATATTTATATTTTTTATATATGTATAATAGTTTTAATTTTTCAATACATTTATAGATAATTATTATATTATATATATGCTAGATTTCTCTTATCTACATTTTTTTATCTACATTTAGTTACTCTCCGTGGTACTCTCATTTCACCAGAGTTTTTTTTAACTTTCATCAAAGTGCTGTTATAACGCCAACTAACGCAATTCGAACTTACGAAATTTGTTTTCCGTCTTCAGTGTTCATTAATAATCAGCAGAATGGCGGACGACGAGTGCATTAATGAATTATATATATCGCTCTTACAGTTTTAGCACGGCCAAGGCGTTAAGGAATTAAGGATCGGGTAAAGTTCGTCGCGAGTTTGCCGCACTGGAGAGACCATAATTCTTCGCAACCGGAACGTACGAGTAATTGCACCAAGTCCCTTCTCACCTTATTTTCCTTGTCGTCACTTCGTCGTCCTGACAATAAAAGGACCTGGAAACTGCTCAGCTACTTTAATATCATGCCATCTTAAAGCCTAATTGTTTTTCTCAATACTTTTCTGACTATATGCGAAATCCATTTGCCTCCAAAAATATCGGAAGACCTGTGGCCTTCGAATAATCAAAGATCAAAAATGAATTTAACGAACTTGAAAAGAAACTTTTGACGAGTAAAGTTTTAAGGAAAAAAAAATAATAATAAGTGAGAGGAGTGCTATATATTCCTCGTGAAGATCTAAGAAATATGTCAAATGAAACTTGAAGAGCAGACTTCTTTGCGCCTTGTTGAGAGACTGTTGGAAGATTCCCTCGGGATCTCCGCGACTCGGAAATGCGGCGCACGAACTTGCGCGAGAAAAACTTAATTAACGAACGTTTCCTGCCTCGTAGCAGATATCTGCTAACAACGCAACAAAACGGTCGTTCATAATCCACGAGGACAGCACCCTTCTGACAGCGACCCGCAATTGCTTCCAGGATGACGCGAGTCGGTCGCCGCGGCATAAATCCTGCGCGAAGAGAATTTCACGTTCCTCTTCCTGTTGTAACCAGCGAAGGGAACTTTAACTCCGACTATTGTCGGAAATCCACCATCCTTCTGTCTCTACCGGTACAACATATCTAACTATTTCCGAGCGGGCTTTTTGCTCGTCTCGGACGAGACACCGCGCCGTTGGAAAATGAATTTTCCGACCGGATGCGGATAACTCTTTGTCGGCGATCCACCCCCTAGTGGATAACGACGGTCGAGGATAATCGTGAAGAGCGCGGTGAAGCGTAATCCCCGTTATTAACCCCGCTAGTCGAGGATTTTCTTTGCTGTTACGTGACGGTGATTATATTCAACAACGACAAATACTTATATATGGGATTCAATATAGACATATCACAAAAATGTATACTATTGAAAGGGATTATTTGAATAATTTTATTTTAAAAGAGATGTTATGTATAAAATTTTATTCTCCATGAGAGGAAAAATAAATGTAGACAGAAGTGCACATAAAATATTGGCTAAAAGTAATAATTGAAATTACCAAAACTGAAATAATAATTTTCAAAGCATTATTTGAAATTGTTATTTGAAATAATATTTGAAACTTTTAATTTTAAATTTGCATTGATTATTTTAAATATTTTTTTTTCATACATTATTTTAAATGTTACTTAAAACGTTATGTGTATAAAATATTATCTCAATTTTATTATTTATATAATATACAGAGGAAAATAATATACACATACACGAATATTTTTAATTTTTGTTTTTCAATTTTTGTTTATTTTGTTCATCTTTTGCAATATATATCTGTGATAATTTTATCTGCATAGAAATAATATTTGATTCATGCATAAAACTGACTGTAACATTAAATAAATGTTTTTATAATTATTTTTAGAGGAAAAAAGTATGGAATAACTTTCATAATTTATTGAAAATGCAGTCTTGAGGGTAATTTTTGTACAAAGGGATAAAAGCCATTTTTGCGATCTCTCTTGAATTGCAGATGAATTTTCGTTCATACGGACTCCGGAGTAACGGATGGCGGACTCGATCGTATGATATTACGGGTCATTACGAGCAGATTCGAGACTCTCGAGTATTCGCAAGTCATACGAGCCTAATTTTGAGCGGGTATAACCGGCGGACTAGTGGAATGCATTGGTACCTCTCGAGGTATGCAAATTAACGACTAAACTGCACTGTTGACGTAGAACTACCATTGATACGAAGGACCAATCTAGTCTCGCCTAAACCGTTCGGTTCGCGCTGACCGTCGCCTGCTCGTTGTTTACCGTGTGTTTCCCCATACAGCACTCGGAGTGTTCTTGATGATTTACGTGATTTTGCCGCTGATCCGCATTTAGAGCTTAATATTGCAATCGAGAGTGCACGGATGAGAATTTAACGCTTTAAAGTTACGAACGTATCATTCGTATCGACTGTTTGTTTCCCTATTGGGCAAAAAATACATTTATGAATAATGAAAAACGCGAGCGCAATTTGCAATATATACTTGTGAATCAATTCACCAGAGTATAAAATAATTATTACCCTCGTAAACACTTTGTTAGTTCATTTATCATGCGTCCCACGATTTTCCTTCTATTTTTGTTCTGTTAGCTGCTAGCATTGTGAATATCAGTAATGTTTATTCATTTCCAACTAGATTATAACGAATATTTGTTATTGATTTATTCTTTATACAGCAGTTTTATTATTGCATTTAGATAAGCATAATAGATTAATTGTGAATATGTAAATTTTCAAAGGGGGTGGGAGATAAGTTATGAGATGTGACGAAATTACACATTTATCATAACAAAGGTCTATTTAACATATTAATTTCATTCATTTTTTTATTTTTGTGATACACTAATGGAAACTATGCAGGATAGCTAACAATATCTAAGCAAGCACAGAACGATATATGTAATTTACCTAAATCAATTCTAAACGTTGATAGATAAATGATGGTAAATAATTAAACAATGATTTGTGACTAATGAAATGTATGTTAATACAACAATAGAAGGATTATTTACCATAAAAGAAGTTGTACTAAAGTACATAATTAAAATTTAAATGACATAAGATTATATATAACAAATGTTTCAAGATTATATATATAACAAATGTCAACAAACGTTTAAAATATTATTTATATAAAAATTTTTATATGCATAGAATTATAAAAAATAGATGCACTGTATGGTACAAAAATTTAATTTTTCAAATTCTATAATTGCATTATATTTGCGTATAAAAAATTATATAAAATTTAAAATTTAACTTGTTGGAATATTATTAGTGTCATTGTTCGTTTTTCACATCAGTAAATTATTATACGTTGTGCTACCTGAGCCATTGTCACTCATTTTCGCATTAATCAAGGAATCTGTTCGATTATGCCTAAAGGGTCTAAATATATACACACCTATATGTTTAACTTAGCTAGAACTACGATCTACTGATTACTCGTATTGATATCTCTACCATTGTCGCATACCATTATCGCGGATGTGCTTTGGATTTGTAATTAGTGAGACTCACTGTAATCCCAAGCCCAGTAATCGCCAGCACCCGCCGTAGGCAGCACCGTGCTCCATGCCTCTATATGCAAGAACAGAAAGAAAAAAAGGAAGAAAGAGTAAAGAACTAAACCATGCGTCGAATCCTTATACATTGTCTAGAAAGAAGAAATGGAATGCGCGCGTTTCCTAAAAGCTTCCAGTAATTTAAATACTTTAGAAACATTTGGGCGATTATTAAATTAAAATTGTCCTCTTGCAAACGCGAATATCGGGTGTTAACCAACCAAGTTTCTCTCCGCGGAATGCCTGCAAAGTTGAATCACTTTGCTCAGATAACGATTCGCCGCGAGCATAAACTCTTGATTATCCAGTTTGAGGCAGGTAACACGAAATGAACGGTTTACCTTAATCAGTTTTATATTATGTTCTATTTTCAACTTGCTCATTTATATTTGTATCTTTTAAATATCAAATACTAATCGTACTATTATATTATACTTTATTTTCATATCGATTCTTATATTTTCCTGATAGCTTTCATCATATGGTTTTCTATTTTTAATATTAATAATAATATAATATTTCGTTCATTTTATGATGGCAAAGAAAATATGTTTCTTTATTAATAACATACTAATTTAATGTTGAGAATTCAAATAATTGTTCTATTTTTCCGAGTTTTCGATAATAACTGCTAAATAATTATTTATACTATATTGATTATCGATTTAAAAATTTGCATTTGCTCTTCATATACAAAAATATATGTATATATAGTTTCTATATAATATATGCAATATATGTTTGTCGATTTATTTGTTTTCTTTTAAATCTTTTTATAGTTTTGAACATATACTCTTTTTTTACGAAATAGCAATATTAGTTTTTCGCGATGTTTGTTAAGAAATCCTTGATGAATTGATTATTCTGACCCTAATAAATTATAAAGTCTCTTTTTCTTTGTGTTTCAGCTCTCATTTCTGACTTCGCTATTTTATCTTGCGCGCTTGTAACACTCCTTTCTCTCTTCACTATCTCATTTTCTTCTTTCTTTTTCCTCCATTTGTTTCAACATGGTCATTAAGGCTGGAAATTACATTATATCGCATATAACGGCTGTGCCTGTCAGGCGGGACAAGGACAATCGCGCCTTGCAAAAAGCTTAAGAGGGGAATTAAAATGAAATTGTCCTGGTTCCTTTTGAAGAGTCCTCTTTGAAGTTTCGCGTTCTGGACGATGTCTCAGTAGCGACAAAAGACTCGGCCATGAGTTCGCAAAGACTCGCAATTATCAGTGAAGTAAGCCTTTGAATAAACATTCCACGTTGCAATCTTCGATAAAGGAAAATTGTTTATTCGAGGCATGAAGACATCCTTCTTCTATTATAAAACTTTCGACTCTTAATATCGAGAATTGTAAAATCCATTTCATTTACATTCGTTTATTGTATCGAGTGCTACGAAGTAGAATATTTTAAATACTATTTATAAAAATAACTTTACACAATATTATAATGCGCGCGTTTTCTACAATTTGCTTTCAATGCGAAAAAGTTATAATAAATAATAGATAGAAATTGATTAATCAACTAAAACGTAAGCGGCAATTTTTCACTCTTATTTCTTATTGAAGATAAAGGAGAAAGATTTAAATAAAGCTTTATATGAAAGAAAGATTCTATCATTAAAAATAATTTACAGCAACATACATTATAAATATATTTTGCAACGTACACGAAGAAGTAGGAAATTCTCAAGATAATAAAGCTATCATTAATGTATATGGTCGAGAATATTCCTTTTTGTGGACAAGAGGAAAACTCGAGAAAGTGCAGAATTTTACAGTAGAGAATAAATTGCAATTAAGATAAATCCGGTATGTTGCTTATTCGTGAGAAAAATGTAATCTCGTTCTCCGTCATTAAATCTGTCGAGTGCAGTCTGCTGAATCTTCTGTACAATGTGCGTTTTTACAAATCAATATATATATATATATATATATATATATATATATATATATGTGTATTGATATTTTATATTAAAATATTTTATATATTATATTAAAAACATATATACAAAATATCAGAATGCTAATATATTTCTGTAATGAGCTTAAATATTTTTTTATAAATTACTAGAATTATGGACTTTAACTCTTATATACTTCACGACGTTCGAGTTTTCTCTCAAACATTTCGAATGAGGGAAGCAAATATAACGAACAACTTTCGCATATTTCGCCAATCCCGTTTGCAACTGCCGAATCGCCTCCGTTAACGGCTCCTTAGTGAGTGCACCTCATTAACGAGGAACAAGTCTGATTGTAATTATCGGTGAAACGTCTTGGAAACGACCCCGACATGCCCGGCCTCTCTAATTGCCGGTGGCTTAAGAGGGAAAAATCATTTTGGGACCATCTCTCGTTTCTGCAGCTGTCGGCAATTACGCCTCATTAGGCGATCCAAGTTTTCTCGCTAATACGCGTAAAAGTTAACAACAAGAAATATATATATTTGTTCAGATATTTTATCGTTAAAAACGACGATCGATTTGATATTTGTTCAGATATTTTATCGTTAAAAACAACGATCGATTTGACACGAGAAAGGATAAAAACGATATTGATGGAGACAACCGTGTGACATGTTACCTACATACAGGAGAAAATGTAAAGAAAAAAATGTAAAATGTAAAGAATTAATGAATATTTGAAAGAAAGATTCGTCATTTGCATGAACCTCGTGCGAATGATTGATGTTGCATTTAATGAAACGTGATCTGCAATAAATTATTGGTAACTAAATAGAAGAATATAAAACTCGAATGTCGCAGATAGATTGTATATTAATAAAAGATTGTATAAAATAAAAGGTGAAATATAGACTATACTAAAAATAAAAACCGCATATAAAACCGACGGATACAAATATTAAAAATGAAATTAAGTACAATAAAATCTTAACAAAGAAAATGAAGTACTTTTAATAAATTGTGATAAATTAAGTTGTTTGATGTCTTAAAATTAAAAGATTCAATTTTATATATATAATTTTTTATATAATTTCTATATTAAATATATTATAAATTAACCCTAACAAAAAGTATTTTAAAGATTTTTTATCTTTTTATCTTTCTGCAAATGCTGACTTTTATCATAATTTTATTAATTACGTTTTATATATTTTTTCGGGATGTATCGCATACGTTCTAAAAGGAACCAGTAATAAAAAAATTAATATTATTTGTAGATTGTTCAATTAAAAGACAAACAATTCGTAAAGATATTAATTTCTACTTCCCATTTTTGTTGATTTTATATTTTGTTTTATTATACACTACCTGTAACGATGGCATGATGAGAGTTGATTTATTTATATTGTTTTTGAAGATTTATTTTTATATAAAAATTTTGTCCCTTAATATATTTTTAATAATACTAATACTAATATAGTTTCGAAGCAATACTAAAAAAAGTATAAATAGATAGTAATTTCATCCATATTAATCTAATATACGTATATTATTTTAATATCATTAAACAGTAACTATTAAATTAATTATTTCAAAATATATGTTTATTATTGTCATATGACAATATATTACGTTGATACTGTATAAAAGAAATTAAGGATAATATTTATAAAACTTTAGCAAAAAATTTTATCTTTTTATTATACAATAATTAATTTAAAAAAATGTAGATTATGTATTAAGAATTAATTTACTAACCTTTTTCACAATATGCGCCTTCATAATCACCGGTGCGACATTCGCAGATCGGTCCGCTATCCGTAGAAATGCAAATGCCACCATGCTGACATGGATCACGAGTCTCGCAAGCATCTGTTGTATTCACAATATTGCGTAAACTCTGTAACAAACACCACATCATAAGGTTATAGGAAATTATTGAATTTTAATTAATATATTTTTGTAGTAATAAATTTGTTATTGATAAACAATAAAATTATTTGAATTATTAGTTTACAATATATACTGCAAAAGCATCATATAAAGAAGATAATAAAATTATGCACTAAATATAATATTTCAATAATTGCACGATGATTTAAAAATTGCATTATATGGAAGAAGAATTTTCTCGCTCTTTATAATCGAATTATACTTTATTAAGCATAATTAACATAATCAAAACTAATTTTAGTAAACTAATGTACTAAGTAATAATTAAATTAGCATATAATACAATTAAATTTGTAAGGAATAAATGAAAAGAAGAATAGTAGCCTTACACGTCGTCCATTATAAAATTAAAAGTTTTACGATATATTATATAATAGAAAAATATTTTTTTATAAAAAAATATTTTTCTATATAAATATTTTTCTATATAATAATTAAACTAAAAGATATTTTTGAAAAAATATCTCATGTGACTGCAATTTCTCCCTACTATTGCGTATTACAATTTTCGCATCATATTATGCAGCAGATTTTTTACATGGATATGCTAGCTGCGGTAATATAACTTCTTAGCATAAATCCGAGAAAGATTTAGTATACGAGAAAGAAAGATGGAAATATATACACAAAATTCTTTATTTTCTATGATATTTTCTACGATATTCGCTGCGGCATTTCAAGCATTTCGATTGATGTCACTTAAATATTCAAAATTATATAGCAATACATCTGAGAAAGTGATATATCTTGCATATTCTCATTGCTTTTAAAGCTAATTTAATATTTAATTTTTAATGTATATGTGATACTTTTCTCTTATTCAACATGGATCAATACACAAAATATACGTATTAAAAATCTTAGAGCTTTTTAATCTATAAATGCTGAACTATCGTTTGAACTTCTTTTTATGAAAGATGATATCGATGGATTGCAAACATAATTTTGAAGTAATATATGATATACATATAAAGATATATAAGAGAGATAAACAATTTATTTCTCTTTTTCATTTGTTATATAGAACAATTCAAGAGTTCAAAAATTATTATATTATATATATATAACAATTATTATATATGACAATATTTGAAAGTGAAGATGAAGTTTTAATATTAAGAAACTTAATTAACATCTTCTTAATATTAAGAGATCTAATTAATATATAATAAGGCTTTGAATATTTCTATTTATTTAATATTATTATTAAATTTATTTAATATTTCTATTTCTATTTCTATTTATTTTTTTCAAATAAGTACTTCTTTACAAATAATTTATAAAATTCATATTTTATTTTCTTTAGCACATATTAACATATTATTTTTTTTTAAATGAATATAAATAACGTATTTGATACATATGTTTCATAACATTTATATTCGCAATATTACGCAACAAGAATTAAAAGGAAAAAAATAGCGTACTTTAGCTTGAAGAATAGCTTCCGCATTTCTTCAATTTACATTTATCTTTATTTTGTGAGCTTACACTGTTCTCTTCGGAACGACGAATAATAAACGAATACAGAACGCATCATTGCCGTGGTGAACATGTTTTTTTTACGATTCATTTATTTTGATAGTGCATACCTTTAACATCTTAATTTATTTTACATCATGCATCGTCATGTTTTAAATCTCCCAAACGAGATTTTTTTTTATTTTCAGAAGCTCAAATCATAATCGATTTTTATGAATGTTCTTTGTAAATAAACAAACATTGTATGCAATCTTGTTTCCAGAGTTCTTTTCAAGTTGTTCTAGTTGGTCTATTTAAATCTTCGTAATCAAATAGAAGCTAGATTCGTCAAGATGAATACGAGCTAATTTTAAAAAATCACCAAGATTCATATAATATAATAGCTTTTGCTATTCAAGATACCACGATTTTACTTTTATATGATAGATTTTCTGATCAAATTATATTTTTTGTATTAATAATTGATTATAACAATAAATAAATAATACATTTTCTTCAAAATATAAAAAATTTTGATATAAAATATTATTTTTAATATGAATGTATAATATATATCTGTTATAATCTGAATAAAATATACGTAGTGATTTATTTAAAAATATTAAATAATTGAATATCTTATTCAAAACTAATAATATGTGTCTGACATGTTCCTATGAAATTTATTCATCACCAATTTCATACTTATAGTTTATTCAGTTGAAGAATCTAATATTATTCTTGATGCTTCTTCTCATTCGATAAACTGTAATAAACAAAATAATTCGATAAAAATATTCAACGAATAAGCTCGCAATTTTGTTTATTAACTCTAAGTTTATATTTGGACTGGTACAATCGCTAGAAATTTTAAACTAACGTCCCAAGATATTCCATAATTTCACAGCGATCGGTAAAATATTCATAGTTAGCTCGCATCAATATTTCGCATCTTCTAGCGAAGATGGAACATTCTTAACTTTCGTGAGAGCGGCAAGTCAAACTCGCGAATAAATTCATCTTTGCGCAACGAGTATCCGCAAATTCGATGGATAAGATAATCACGGAGATCCCGATCTCTCTCGCTCTCTCTCTCTCTTTCATTCGATGCAACTTTTGCCGAGTTCATAGTACGTGCTTGTATTGACCGGTAAATAATAAATATTTGAACTTCCATTCGCGTTTTGAAGGATACGCTGCATAATTTCTATCTCCGCGAGAAAATCATTTGTTAGCGTTTGAGGTTCGCTGTATTATTGTTCCTGTTTCTTCGGAAAATGGTGGGTTGCATAATTAATCATTAGTAGCTTCTTCGTAGGTAATGAGTTGTTATATTATCTTTAATTCACGGAGGACCTCTTCTCCAACTTTTTCCGCTTCGACAGATGGTTCAAAATTTTCGCAAGGAATTTAGTGAAGCAGTGCGGATGCACGTGTCGGGTCATGGGGTCAATCGCGTCGCTGCGCTCTATTATTGCGGCCAGGCTGGGATTCCACAGAATTGGCAAATGGCCACATCGAAGGATACGGAATAGTAATTTTAGCGATGACGCGAAACGAAGGGTAACGATATGGGTTAACTCCATCGTGCATTGAATATATGAATAGGCAGCATATGTTCAATATTGCCAGAATTGGTACAATTATATTAAATTTTGACTCAAAAAGTACTTTAGTACCCACAATGTACATAAAACCCATTTCGTTACATATCATATTTAAAAATTTTTTAAATTATTTAATTCGGAATAAAATAAATTATATTTACTCCGATTCCAGTTAGTTTGTACCGTTTATTTTACTTGATATTATGTGCATTATAAGCTTGAATGTTTTTCTTAATTATATAAAAGAATATTTATTATACAAACATATTGCGTATTTATTCTTATGAAATTTTAATTTACAATTTAATTGTATATTATATAATTATATAATATATGTTATATTATATATAATATATGTTTATATAATATATTATATATAATATATTATATATAATATATGTATTATATAATATATGTTATAAAAACAAGTACAATGTTCAAAATGGCAAATTTATTACAAACGATAATATATCTTGACATTCTTTTATCAGAAAACAAATAAATTGCGGATTCAACAAAGCATTCGCCATTAAAAATAAAATCAGATATTTGCAAAGCGAACCGTAACCGTATATCTCCTGTATATTCTACGCAAAGAGGAGTAAAAGGACTTAGAGTAACGAATACACCCTGCACGAATACGACCATCAAGCCTGCTTAACGAGTCGACCGCATTAATCATACTGGACCACACGGTGCAGAGGATTGTTAACGAGATTTCCTACGAGAAAAGCTAATTGACGTCTAGTCGTGGCAAATTGCATTTTCGATACGACCCCGGCTTAGCTGTTTCTGACCTTCCTGCAGTTAGTAAAATAATACGGTTCATAATTTCGATGCAATAAAAACCGATCAAATGAATCAAATATAATATTAATTGAGATAAATATAGCTATATATATGTATATATTAAATACAAGGTTTTAATTGAGATAAATATAGCTATATATAAGTTTCATATATTGAAATCGAATATTGCTAGGCTAGAAAAAATTAATTTGTTCCTTCTAAATCTAAACATAATCTTATAAATCCAGAAACTGTTGTGCATATACATATACCATACATGTATGTTTGTAAGAGAGAATAAAAGATATATATAAGAATAAATTGCATCATATAAAAAAGTAAATGAATGAATTTAAAAATTTGTAAAAATACAAAGCTATTCACACGTAAATTCAAGAATATTAAAAAATATTCGTGAATCATTTTCTAAACGTCATTATGCTTCTAAACGTCATGAATCGCAGCCTCTCGTGATTATCATATTTCTTTTGAGATTAGTTCAAAAATTGCATATAATTTATGGAACGAGATTAATTAACTGCAATTAATTCAGCGTACACGGAATTTGGCGAGAACAAAAGCTGCATAGTGTTTATGAACTATGCGCGGCATAGTTGCGTATAAGTATGCCTATCGTAGTGAGATGGAAGTATTCAAATAAATCAAACGATTTAAGTTGAACGGAATTAAACGTTGTTAGCCCATCCTCGTCGGCAATTTTCTATGCTCGCACGTAAAACAATCTACTCAAACAGTTTAGCATGGATAACAAATTTAGAATTTAAAATTCTAGTTTTATTTTTTCTACAACTACAATCAAAAATTTCGTTTACATATCAATAAAAAAATGAATATCAATATTAAAAATGACAAAATAGTGAAAATCATGGTAAAATAGATGAAAATAATAATAAAATAGACTTCATGAATTTATAATGTAGCGATATAAACGAAGCACAAATGATGATGAGTAAATTAAGCAAATCGAATTTATACTAGTTTTAATTAAGTGAAGTATTTGATTCCTACAGAAATGCCAATTTGAAAGACTTATTGTGAATGTTGATGCATTTCCTCCGTTATTCCCAAA